GCTTTAAAGGTCATAATTAGTACCTTGAATCGCACCCGGAAGACAACCGGCAACCAGTGCAAGCCGCCTAAAAGGGGTGTAACATGGGAGATCCTAGGTACCCCCATGATTCTCTCACCCCCATGGTGAGAGAAAAGATGACATTCTGATGAGAGAGAGGCTTCAGCATGAGTCTGAAAGCTCGGAAGACAAAACCTCTGGTCCCGGCGACTGGCCCTGATTGGATCCCGCAACATTATCCCAGGACATGTATATTTTTGCCTTCATTCATGAATTTTGAGACCATAGGAATAAGAGCATAACACGTCAACCACAGTCAACCATACCTAAGTCTTGAGTCTATATGCCACACCCCATCGCAAACAGTCAACATTATATAGTGATGGGTCCGTACGAATAAGGGCATATCCCATCATCAATAGTCAACAGAACATATTTATGGGCCTGTATGAATAAGGGCATATCCCATTGTCAGTAACCAACAATACCTGGTGAATAAGGCCATATCCCATCATAAATAGTCAACAATATCTAGTTATGGGTCTGTACGAATAAGGGAATAGCCCATCATCATTAGTCTGCAATACCTAGTTATGGGTCCATGTGAAGTAGGGCAAATCCCATCATCAATAGTCAACAATACATAGTTATGGGTCCATGTGAATTTGGACGTATCCCATCATCAATAGTCAATAATGCACAGTCTTCTATACATAAGGGCGTGTCCCATCAACAACAGTCAACTCCACATAAGAGAGTCTGTGTGGACAAGGGTATAGCCCATCATCAATAGTCAACAATACCTACTTATGGGTGCATATGAAGTAGGGCAAATCCCATCATCAATAGTCAATAATGCACAGTCTTCTACACATAAGGGCGTGTCCCATCAACATCAGTCAACACTACATAAGTGAGTCTGTCTGAACAAGGGAATAGCCCATCATCAATAGTCAACAATACCTAGTTATGGGTCCATGTGAAGTAGGGCAAATCCCATCATCAATAGTCAATAATGCACAGTCTTCTACACATAAGGGTGTGTCCCATCAACAACAGTCTACTCTACATAAGTGAGTCTGTATGGACAAGGGCATAGCCCATCATCAATAGTCAACAATACCTAGTTATGGGTCCATGTGAATTAGAGCATATTCTATCATCAATAGTCAATAATGCACAGTCTTCTATGCATACGGGCGTGTCCCATCAATAACAGTCAACACTACATAAGTGAGTGTAGTAACGGTACATAAGTGAGAACAAGGGCACAGCCCATCAACAACATGACATCCGTCAACTTGGAACTTGCTTTTTATGTTAAAAAAAAATCCCACTCCTTTAAAATGACCAAATTTTCATCAGAATGCTAAATTTCAGGATCATTCAGTGTTCTGCAAGGATGATGATGATGATGATGATAAAATGGTGCCTACTTTGGTGAAATATTAATTAATATTTTCTGCCGTAATAGAGAGAGGGAGATCTGCTTCCCTTGTGCGAGAGATTGGGCGGGCTGGGGGGGCGTCTTGTCTTTTGCCTCTTTTGTCTTCTCACCCAGAACGCTTCTGTCATCCTTCTAAAAACCCAGCATGAATTTGTACGGTGCGAGCGTCCGTCCCGGGTCCTGATAGACCTGATTCAAAGAACCAAGGATGCAGTCCGGGAGTTGGATAACCTTCAGTCTCGGAAAATGAACAAAATCCTGTTCCAGGAGGTGTTCAATGGCCCTCTGAACGAGTCCCAGGAAGACGAGGAGGTATCACGTTTATCTATACTGCTGATAAATAGTAATAAGAACCATGAATGTCATCGTAACGGGTCTCCTGCTTCACAGGGTCCCTGCCAAGTCCCTTTTCATGGGTTCCCAGCGCAACATGAGGAATTTGGTTGGGAGCAAGGCTGTCTCACCGCTGAATTATGGCCGATGATGCTTTGGTGACCGTCCTTGAGATGGATGGCAACAGAGCATCTGAAGCAAAGATCAAGTTTGCTCTTAGTTTTGGCTCACGGCTATGGAAACCAAGCCCTACTTAGATCCCGAAAGAGTCAGATCCCAAAACAGTTACCCTGTTTCCCTGAAAATAAGACCTCCCCAAATAATAAGCACAAACAGGCTTTTGAGCGTGTGCGCTAAAATAAGTCCTTCCCCGAAAATAAGACCTCCCCAAATAATAAGCCCAATCGGGCTTTTGAGCCCATGCGCTAAAATAAGTCCTTCCCCGAAAATAAGACCTCCCCAAATAATAAGCCCAATCGGGCTTTTCAGCACATGCACTAAAATAAGTCCTTCCNCTTAGGAAGCCTTTTCAGCCCCTGCTTGGCTGGATCCAGGTACAGTGCCAAGGGGGATGGGCGCCGGCTGCCCCTATTGCCAGCATGTTGCACTGAGATGGATCATTGGAACAAAAACAGCAACCTTTCTTTTCTTTGATTTTGCATTCTCCATACATCCATAATCATCCCGCTCCCCAAACCCCCACCCCACCCCACCCACCTTCACCACCCCCAGAAGGAATTCTTGGCTTAAAGAGGCGAGGACGACGATGACGGTGGTTGTTGTTATTATTATTATTATTTTGTTTTTTGTTTTTTTAAAAAGAACCTCCCCAGCATGGTTTAATTCTATTCCATGCTGATTTTCTTCGTTTTGAGTTGGTATGGGGTGGGCTTTGAAGAGGGGCGGGGGAGTGCATCTGTTGCAGTGCTGTGCCTTTTTTCCCCCCTTTTCTCTTTCTTTCTTTCTTTCCTTCCTTTCTTTCTTTTTTCCTTTTTTTCCTTTTTTCTTTCTTTCTTTTCTCTTTTCTTTCTTTCTGTTTTCCTTTTTTCTTTCATTTTTTTTCTTTTCTTTTTCTTTCCTTTCTTTCTTTCCTTCCTTCTTTTTCCTTTTTCCTTTATTTCCCCTTTTATCTTTATTTCCCTGTTTTTCTTTATTTCCCCCTTTTCTTTCTTTCTTTTCATTTTCTTTCTTTTTTCCTTTTTTCTTTCTTTCCTTCTTTCTTTCCTTCCTTCCTTTCTTTTTTCTTTTTTCTTTTTTCCTTTCTTTCTTTCTTTTTTCTTTATTTCCCTTTTTCTTTCTTTCTTTCTTTTCTTTTTTTCTTTCTTTTTTTCCTTTTTTCTTTATTTCCCCTTTTTTCTTTATTTCCTCTTTTTTCTCTCTTTCTCTCTTTCTTTCTTTTTCCTTTTTCTTTCTGTCCTTCTTTCTTTTTCTTTCTTTCTTTCTTTCCTTCTTTCTTTCTTTTTTCCTTTTTTCCTTCTTTCTTTCTTTCTTTCTTTTTTCCTTCTTTCTTTCTTTTTTCCTTCCTTCTTCCTTTTTTCCTTTTTTCTTTATTTCCCCTTTTTCTTTCTTTCTTTTTTCTTTTTCTTTTTTCTTTTCTCTTTCTTTCCTTCTTTCTTTTTTCCTTCCTTCTTTCTTTCTTTTTTCCTTCCTTCCTTCTTTCTTTCTTTTTTCCCTTTTTTCTTCCTTTCTTTCTTTTCTTTCTTTCTTTTCCTTTTTTCTTTCTTTTTCCTTTTTTCTTTCTTTTTTTCCTTTTTTTTCCCTTCCTTTTTCCTTTCTTTCTTTTTTTCTTCTTTTTACTGGCATCCCATAATCTTCCCTCTTGGAATTCATGTACGGTAGGATGGCTCCAGAGGTGATCCTGGCTATGGATGATGGACAGTATGACGGGAAGGTCGATGTTTGGTCGCTTGGAATTACCTGCATCGAGTTAGGTAAGTCAACCGGAGTTGACAATCGTTGGATTTAATGCAACCATTCTGGATAATTCTTGGGGTTTTTATAGGACATACCATGTTTCCCCGAAAATAAGACAGGGACTTATTTTCTTTTGAGTCCCAAAATAAGTGCTTGGCCTTATTTTCAGGGAGGTGTTATTATTTTTGAGGTGCAAGAGGTGGCGAGCGTGGTCACTTTGTGGTTCCTGCTGGGTTGCAATATTTTCGGAGAGGGCTTATTTTCAGGGGAGGGCTTATTTCAGCGCATGCGCTCAAAAGCCCGATTGGTCTTATTATCTGGGGAGGGCTTATTTCCAGGGATACAGGGTAATCTTCTGTCAGGTTCTAGTTTTTGTTGTGGCCCGCCACAGGTTCGCCATCACAGGTGTAGGATCTCTTGCTGGGGCAGGGGGTTGGACTAGATGATCTACAGGGCCCCTTCCGACTCTTGTTAATCTGTCATCTTCCTACAGATTGGAAGCTGGCCAGAATCACCCAGTGATTCCATGGTGTCTTACCTTCTCTCTCTTGTTTTTTTCTTTTGCCCCCAGCGGAGCGGAAACCTCCCCTCTTCAATATGAATGCAATGAGTGCCTTATATCACATCGCCCAGAACGACTCTCCCACGCTACAGTCCAATGAGTGGTAAGAGCTGAGGAAAGGGGGTGTCTCTGCTTTGGTTTCCGGAAGAAGTGTACCGTTGTTTTTTTTGCTACGGGTTTCTGTGGGCATGGCTTGGTGGGGGTGGCAGGGGGAGGATAAGTCTAAGTATAATCTTTATTGTTGTTGTACTTAAATACAACAAAATTGGTTGTACATTTTGCAAATAATGCAAAATCTCCATTTCCTCCCCACTCCAGGGGGAAGATACTGTAAAATACCCATTTACATCACACTCCAGGAGAAGGTTACTGTAAAATCTCCATTTCCTCCACACTTCAGGGGAAGGATACTGTAAAATCCCCATTCCCTCCCCACTCCAGGGAAGGATTCTGTAAAATCTCCATTTACATCACACTCCAGGGGAAGGATACTGTAAAATCCCCATTTCCTCCACACTTCAGGGGAAGGATTCTGTAAAATCTCCATTCCCTCCCCACTCCAGGGAAGGATTCTGTAAAATCCCCATTTACATCATACTCCAGGGGAAGGATATTGTAAAATCCCCATTTACATCATACTCCAGGAAAAGGTTACTGTAAAATCTCCATTCCCTCCACACTCCAGGGGAAGGATACTGTAAAATCCCCATTTACATCATACTCCAGGGGAAGGATATTGTAAAATCCCCATTTACATCACACTCCAGGAGAAGGTTACTGTAAAATCTCCATTTCCTCCACACTTCAGGGGAAGGATACTGTAAAATCCCTATTCCCTCCCCACTCCAGGGAAGGATTCTGTAAAATCCCCAATTACATCACACTCCAGGGGAAGGATACTGTAAAGTCCCCATTTACATCATACTCCATTGGAAGGATACTGTAAAATCCCCATTTACATCACACTCCAGGAGAAGGTTACTGTAAAATCTCCATTTCCTCCACACTTCAGGGGAAGGATACTGCGATATCCCCATTCCCTCCCCACGGGAAGGATACTGCGAAATCCCCATTCCCTCCCTACTCCAGGGGAAGGATACTGCGAAATCCCCATTCCAGGGAAGGATTCTCTAAAATCCCCGTTTACATCACACTCCAGGGAAAGGATACTGTAAAATCCCCAATTACATCACACTCCAGGGGAAGGATACTG